ATGTGTCTTTGTCGCTACCTTTTTGGATCTGACTCCCATGCACAAAAAAAGTGTCTGGTTAGTTGATTCTTTGCTGTTGATTTCTCTACCATGTGAAGTAAATACTGCAGAGCATGTTAGGAATAGCAGACTTGTAATATAAAATAATAAAGGTAAAACATTTGAAAGCATCAAAAAGTGTAGCAGATATTACTTACGAGAGAGAATCATTTAGATGCTGGTATCTTCTTTTATGTCATTGTTTTCTGTTATGGTTGTGCTGGAACACAAGTCACTTTAGTAGTGGGTCTGGAAACGGTTCTGGAATGCTTGTGATTTTCTGAGAACCTTTTATAAAAGCCTGGAAGATGTTATTAAACGCTGTGGTATTTAGATGTGACTCTTTTGAAGGACTTTGTTGTGTGAAACTGAAGGAAATTCAAAAGTCTGGGGATGTAAGAAGTGCAAAGCGAAGCCTTTTTCCTTCTTCAAACCCAAGCAGTTATCATAAGAGCGACATAAACTTTCATTATGAATTCATTTCTTTTCATAGAGGCACTCGTAATGAATCGACTGATCCAACTGAGATTAAATGGCTTTGAGTACATGATGGTCATTGTCAGTGTTTTACTGAGGACTTAACATTGTCTTAATGTCTGTATTGTTGTCATTATAGCATTCAACTCGATTCTACTTCATTTATGAGCGTTTTGTACTAAAATGATCCTTTTTGTCTGTATTTCTGTTTATAATTCAAGTCGGTAAGTGCAAATTAAATATTTGAATGTTAGTATTGGATGCAAATGTGAAATTTTTGTGTCCCACATTGGAGTGATTAGCCTTCATCTGTTCGGTTCGTGTATCAGGGCCAGCTCATTCACAGCAGTATTACCTTGAAAACGGTTTCCAGGGATACCGGACTTTGAATTTGTATGATTGTCGAAAGACATCATGATTTAGTCCCCATCTGTACGTACAGAAGATGAGGAGTGACTTCAGTTAGGTCAACTTTTCCACCCTGTTGCTCATCAAACGCCTGTTGAAATTTTAAAGGCAAAAGTAGTTTAAAATATGGATTTGAGCCGACTTGCACCGGCTTGCAATTTTGATGCTGTTAGTGGCTAATGTTCTGTCCTTGTCTTTATACAAACGTGACTAACAACCTTTATCCACCTTGTCGTCGCTGAACAGCAGGGATTAGATTTACAGAGACTTCCTGCTCCATATTAATCCAGACATACTACAATACATTGGAAGATTTAATACACAGGAAGTGAAATGGCGTTCCCTGACATGATCCTACTACACTCCTAAAATATAGCTTTCTAAAGAATGTTTTTGCATGCAGAAGAACCATTTGGATTCTCTAAAGAACCTTTCTTAAGAAACTTTTTTTTTTTAGATTTTAATAATCTAAACCTTTTGTGGAATGGAAAGATTGGATGTTAAAGGTTTTTCATGGAACCATAGATGCCAACAAAGAACCTTTATTTTTAATAGTGACATCAATTAAAAACACATTAAACCATTATACAACAGCCTGTCCATCAGTCATATTCAGTAGGAATTACTTTTATCAACAAGTATTGAGGTATTTTTAATATGTACAGATATTACTACTATGTAGCTTCACTGTAATTTGAACATATTAAAAAATCTTTACTTAAAAACCAAGCCTTAAATAAGCACAAGGAATACATTAAAATATTTCACCCTTTATTCATTTTAACACACTAATTAAATCTGAACTCTTTTACATGAATTCAGTTTTTTTTTTAACATGTATTAGTTAAAAGCTTTGCTAGGGGTCCTCTGACAGATGTCCTCCGGTTATAATTACTGCTTCACTGCAGAAAACATCTGAAAGAAACATCTTGAGTTAAAAATGAAAAACTGAGATGAATTGCAAAAGGACCAAATAGACAAAATATAATTCACTGAAAAAATTACTTAACTGCCATATTTATTGTGATGCTTCTTGTGAAACAGCCCGTTTTGTAGGAGTACTGACATTACAAATGCCAACACTGTCCTTCATGGTGTTCAGTAAAATTTCTTTTGATTTACATAAATAGTTTATAAATCTGTTAAATTTAGATAATATTGTAGCGTCTTTCTGTTAAACATGTTGTCACTTTTCACAAAACCTTCCAATAGTTTTATTTATTTATTTTTTTTCAGTATGCACAAGTTTAAATACACCTTAGAATATAATATTTTTAATAGATATATATTTTCAAATGCTACCAGTAATCAAAATCAGACTGCTGACTCTCAACAAAGATGACAGCCAAACTGAAACAACATCCTCACAATATTACGACTGGTAAGTTTTAACCAAGGACTGAATTCCTGATTCCCAGCATCGCACTTGATTCCCAAAGTGCTCCTAAAACCGACATTATCGTCGCCAAGATTATCACTTATGACCTCATAAAATATGGACTCAAAGTTATTTTTCCATCTTGAAAATGGACATAAGCACTCCCATCTGGCTTTATTCTCTGGCAGGAGGGACATGTGGATGTACGGAAAGAGGCCGGAAGACAATGGAGTCAAAGATCGCTTAGCGGACCCCTTCCTCTATGCTTGAACCAAAGTCCAAACCCCTCTTCACAAGCCCCAGTAAGGTGCCAAATTCCTGCGGTCTCTCTCGTACACATCGGGAATGACCCCGTATGGTGTCTGGATCATTTTCACAGAGTTCCTGCCAAACAGTTTCCTCTCGTACTCGATTAGTTGTCGCCAGAACCCTCCATTAGGACGAATGACGGGTCGGCGGGATTTGACCCAAGCGTGAGCCTCGGCCAGGGAAACTCTGTGGTACTTCATGAGGTAGGCCAAACAGAGCGAGGCGGAGCGACTCACCCCAGCCGCGCAGTGCACCAGCACGGCTCCCCGTTTGCGGCCCACGCTGTGGATCTTATCAGCCACGCCATCAAAATAAAGCGAGATTGGAGAATGAGGCATGTCGGCCAGTGGCACTTTCACATACTCCATGTGTGGCCAGTTGAAGTTGGGCAGCTCGATGGTGGCGTTCACCACACAGGTAATCCCTTTGGACAGGAGAAGGCTGCGGTTAGACGCCACATTCCCCCGGCCGAGGAACAGGGAAGGAGTGATCTGGGCGATGCCCCCCAACAGGCTGCTGGTCTCAGGCAGCAGTCGTGGGACAGCCGTGGGCACCACTGAACTGCGGTGGTGGTGTTGGTGATGGTGGTGGAAGAACCCCTGACTTCGGGAACCCATAGGGGAGCGGAGGCAGGAGACAGAGAAATAGAAACCTTGAGGTGGCGCCAGGGTGTCTTTTAGTTCTCCTTGGTCATCTCAAAGCGAATGGTGATATCATACAAATCATTGGGTACACCTAAAACAAAACAAGAGTAGGTTTGCTTGGAATAACTAGTCAAACCTCTGGAGCAAGTGCCTTGCACAGGCAGACAGTGTTTACAGCAGGGGTCTCCAAACCTGTTCCTGGAGAGCTTTCATCCTGCAGGTTTCAGCTCCAACCCCAATCAATCACACCTGAACCAGCTAATCAAGGTGTTTGGGGTTACTTGATAATTACAGACAGGTGTGTTTGAGCAGGGTTGGAACTGAAGTCTGCAGGATGGTAGATATCCAGGAGCAGGGTTGGAGAGCCTTGGTTTACAGCAGAGGTCTCCAAACTCGGTCCTGGAGGGTCAGTGTCCTGCAGAGTTTAGCTCCAATTTGCCTCAACACACCTGCCTGGAAGTTTCTAGTATGCCTAGTAAGACCTTGATTAGTTGGTTCAGGTGTGTTTAATAATTAGGGTTGGAGCTAAACTGCAGGACCGAGTTTGGAGACCCCTGGTTTACACAGCATATGTAGGGTTATGAACCTACAACCTTCTGGTTAGTCCAGGACCCTTATTTATAGAACACATGTACAATTGGATTTGATACTTGATTCCATGGATTTCATCCTACACCAAAAATGAGAAACAAATCTGGATTTAAAGGAAAAAAACTGGCATGAAAATATTCTTATGAATACGCCAACTGAAGAGCATGTGTACAAACCTTTAGCACTTTTATATATATATCAGTAAATAAGGGTGTACTAGGCACGGTTGCCTTGTACTTAGCCTGTGCGCGATTCTCCCTCCTCCTCAATTTCTAAACTTTGAATCAATTCAACCAACTGCTTCGCAAAATTATTCACTTTTTCGAAGTGCTAGAAACGCCTTGTGCTGGTGACTCCTACTGCAGAACGGTGTAAATACAATGAAAACTCAGCTCAAACATGCTTAAAAACCACTTTTTGTAATACAATTGCAAACGTTTTGCTTTAAGTGTAACCTCTTAAATGCAATGACCAAATCCTCTAATACCAGTAAATATGAAGCGTCTGATGTTATTTTATTCATTTGTAGGGCTTGTTTTGTTTGCTTTATGGAGAGCTTTGTTAATCAGGCCAATACCTGCAACTCATACTTTTTTTACACAAGTGTCATTAAAAATGTCTACAAATTTATCAAATTGATCAGAGATCAGGAAAAAAACACTGGTTCATGCGTTCACAGAGATCGCCCCTAGCAGCAAACCATTGAAATTTCAAAACAGTTATGCTGTAACGAAGCATCATTTACTAACATCACGTGCCTTTGGCAGTTTGATAAGCACTCTGAATCACTGGTTCCAAACAAATGATTTGCAAAGTTTTCGAAGCTTCACGAAATAGTGTTTCAAAAGCGTCCATACCTAGCGTTCACAGTCAGGATCATTCTACGCACATCTTCAGAACTTCACCCACTGTACCATGGAAACAAGTACTGTATATCTGTTTTAAACTGAGGACCTTTTCAGAGTCCAGTGAGGTGCTTTACAAGAGTCGATGACTGAAGCTTCCTTGTTGATGGTAAAAGACAACATTGGTGTGGCTGAATGCTGCTTTAATGGACTTAATTACTGTATGTACCGAGCAGATGTGCCTCTCTGTCAGACTCCCATCCCTCGAGCTGTGCATTAGTGTGGGGGGCACGCGGAGCAAGTGCTTACTGGAGCCTGGAGGACCCTTATTAATCAAACCAAGAACAAGGCTTTGAAACCTGTTATATGCGAATACTCTTGGTCAGACAGAAAGCTTTATGTATCGCACAGAACAAGAGGGCAGGAAAGGAAAAACATCTTTTTGAAAGTTCGACTTAAAAATAGGATTGTAAAATTTGCTGTGACAGTGACTTAATTGAATTCTGATTCTTTAAAAAGAATTATGAATTATGATTTCTTAAAAAAATGCATGAATTCTGAACTTTAAATTTGGTCATGGTTTGGTTCAGTTTAATTAAATGATTTTGTTTTGCAGACATTTAATAAAGCAATACGCCCTAAAAAAGTTTTTGTTAGGCACAATGGAGAGTGGAGAATCAGTAAACCACAGCTTCAGTGCTTACTTACAAGGTTTCATAAAATATACACAGAAACAAAAATTTATTAATTTACTGATAAATATTTTTTTCATGTTTACCATGTATCAGATAGACAGAAAGCATACTTGGCACAGTAATACTTATGTAATGACTTGACAGGTGTGTGCTTATACAGTATTTTACAATGGCTTTGAATACAGCTAGGCCAATCATAATCAAGGACCGGAACTATCCATTTTATAATTTTTTTCTGGACTTTATTTTAAGAACTCATACATTTTCTTTTAAGAATTTTACTTCAGATACAGTCCATTTCTTTTTATTTTATAAATTCATTGTTATGAATTCAATAACTGCTAGCTAAACTGGCAGCAAGTCCAAGGTTATCCATTTTTTTCTTCACAGAGGGAAAAATGTCATTCCCATCACATTATACCAAAATCCTCCTGAAGGTTGAGCCAAGGTCATGATCAGATCTTTATTCAGGGATATGCAATAAATGTTTTAACACAGATGAACATCAGTTTGAAAAACGCATTTTTCAAGATTTCTTCACAAAAGTGCCCCTAATTGAAGAATACTATATTATAATTGATGCACTTTGTCAGATTGATGCATCACAATGCATGCACTTTTACATGCCTAGTTAAAAGCCTTGCTTAAACTCTACAATGTCCATATTCACATCACACACACTAGTAATGTGTAAAATTACTCCAAAGTGCAAAGTATCCAAAATACTTGGCATGTCTAAGGGGTTTAACTAACAAACGTTTCATTGTGTTTAAAGTAAAGGCAAAGGTACATTGCTGTAAAAAAAGGTTGTGTTCTGGACCCAGTGATGTTCTCAGGTAACACGTTCAGTCAGCCATCAATTTTGGCCCTCAGACACCCCTGTGGATTCCAAGTGTGCTGAAATCTGCTTCCTCCAATTACTGGGGGTCGAGTCGCTGGCAGGCATGAAAAACAAATGAATGTAGAGCATCTGTTTTTGTCGCCTACCTTTCATACATTAGCATTTTTTATTGAAGGACAGACGGTACTTATGGCTTGTGTGCTGTTTGCTGTTCCCCATCATGCCTGAGGGCTCTACATCATTCATTCCTGTCAATATAATGCATGGGGCTCTGACCTTTATCAGCATGCCACAAATATCAAACCAATCATGTTAAATAAGAATTACATCTGGTGTCTGTGCAAACAGAACCTGTGATGGTAGTTCCTCCACCCTCTGCAGAGCTACAGCTGGCTTGATGCTCTAAAGCAACATGTGGCCGGATCTTCTGTACGTTTCTCCATATCTATCCCTCTTTCACCATTAATGCATACACAATTTGTAGTTTTATTTAGATTAATTAATTAGCAATATTATAATTATTTCCTTGTTATTTTATTTTTCACAATTATTTTATTTTTATATTCTATTTATTTACGAGTTCCACTTACATTGGATTGAGCAAATAGTAAGCATATTTGGCATGCTGTCCTGAGGGAGGGCTCCGAGCTCGGAATATAGCCCGAACCCAGAGAACTCCCCCAATCCCTAGTATAGGATGAGAATAGTTTAATAGTGAAGAGTTAGGGTGGAGGAGGGATGCCGGAAAACTGTCGTGGGACAGAGGTAAGTTGGCTGTATATATACAGTATATATATATATATATATATATTGTGCTAGTTAAGCTGATTAACTGAATGAGTAACACCTGTGCCGAACTGGTTGATTATCTGATCGTGCTCCTCCCGAACCTTGTTAATAAAACATAATTTATTTATTAGTATTTTAATAGTTTTTAATTGTTATTAGTTTATAATTTTTTTAATAATTAACTGCATTAAATTAACACATTAAATTGACAGCCCTATCATATTCCTGCAATGTGTAAAGATTTGGCACACATTGGCAAAAGGACCATCAATTTATGGCAGTGTCCTTGTGCCCAGTAGTCTGCTACTGTGTTTGCATTAATAAAACCCATCTGCCCCAGTTCATGCTGGCTGTCTCCCTGCCTTCCTCTCTACATCAATGAAAAACAGCCTGCCTGCCACTCTCATGGGACTCTGATCGCAATAACATCTACAGTCTCTAACATCCTTTCAAACAGGGCACACAATCTCTCTCTCTGGCTGTCGCTCATTTTTTCACACTGAAATTACGGAGTTTGGATGCCATGTGTGGTGCCCCACAAACTCTTCTTCACAGCTTGTGAGCTTGTTAACACAAAAGGGTAGTCAGTGTCATTGTGACTGTTTTTGGGTAAAAATCCACCTGAATCGTCAACCCAAAAGCTGTAGCTTTCAAAACAAATACGGCGCCATGGTCATGTCAGTTCAGATGTAATTTGTTCTTGCATATCTTGTCTTTGGTGCATATTTGACTTAAAGGGATAGTTCACCTAAAAATGAAAATTCTGTCATTAATTACTCACCCTCATGTCTTTCAAACCCGTAAAACCTTCGTTCCTCTTTGGAACACAAATTCAGTTATTTTTAATGAAATCCGAGAGCTTTCTGACCCTGCATAGACAGCAACAGAACTACCATGTTCAAGGCCCAGTAAGGTAGTAAGGATATAAAATAAATATAGTCCATGTGACATCAGTGGTTCAACCTTAATTTTATGAAGCTATAATGACTATTCAGCAATTTCTTGTCTTCCATGTCAGTCTTCGACGTGCGTTCACGAGAGTACCATGCATGCATATGGTGCCGCTGACACAGGAGCCGGAACCCGGATGCGCTGCACCTTGTTTGCAAGCAGAAGAATGCACACGCATGTGTCGTGGTACTGTCGTGAACGCACATCGAAGACTGACACGGAGGAGAAGAAATTGTTGAATAAAGCCGCTATTTTTTGTGCACAAAAAGTATTCTCGTAGCTTAAAAAAATTAAGGTTGAACCACTGATGTCACATGGGCTATTTTAAGGATGTCCTTACTACCTTTCTGGGCCTTGAACGTGGTAATTCTGTTGCTGTCTATGCAGGGTCAGAAAGCTCTAGGATTTCATCAAAAATATCTTAATTTGTGTTCTGAAGATGAACGAAGGTCTTATGGGTTTGGAACGACATGAGGGTGAGTAATTAATAACAGAATTATCATTTTTGGGTGAACAATCCCTTTAAAGAGATAGTTCAATAAAAAAATTTAATTCTGCTATTTAATCACCCTGATGTTGTTCCAAAATTCTCTCTTTCTTCTGTGGAACATAAAAGAGGATATTTTGAAAAATGTCTCAGAATTTTTTTCTGGATCGAGCCCTTACGAAGATCTGAGATGACCAGACACCTGAGAAGAGAAGATGCCAACCCCTCCGAGGACCTCAGATGACACCAACCCAGAACCAACATAGAAAACTACCAAATTTTCCTATAAGTTTGATCACAACATATAATCATTGCACCTTGATAGTCACCACTGATATGCTACTCCTAAATGTAATTTAGAAACTTTCATTTTCTGTGAAGCTGCTTTGCAACGATTTGTATGGTGAAAAGCGCAACACAAATAAACGTGAATTGAATTGAATTTTCTGTTTATACAATTGAAGTTAATAGTAAGCAGAACTACTGTAATTGGTTCCAACATTCTTCAGTATACCATCTTTAGTGTTCCACAGAGGATTGTAAGTCATACAGGTTTGGAACAACATCAGGGTGAGTAAATTATAACAGAATTTTTATTTTTAGGTGATCTAACCCTTTAAGAACTACAGTGGATGGGAAGATTTTTTGTGTATAACAGGTTAAAATATTCATTTCTGGTGCCGTGACCCGGTGACTACTGTAGGTGTTGAGGAATAAAGGCTTGATATATAAGAGCAAAAATGTACCTCAGCAACACAAAGTGCTGATAGAGTCAAAGGCCTCACTGCTAACTATCACAGCTATTTATACAAGTGAGTGAGTGGAGAAGTGGGAAGAGAAGAAAGAGAGAGGAAAAGAAGGAACATCAGAGACCTGATCTTTTTTTGCTGTGTGCATTGCTTCTAAACATATAGCATATATCTGTAGGAATATAAACATTTTGTCATCTACACAGTCTCACGTCATTCCAAATCCATGACTAGATTTCTTCTTTATAATGCAACAGAAATTTTGAAAAACTGCAAAAAAACAAGTAAAAAAAACAACAAAAAAAAACAAGCTACATAGGTGGTCCATATACTCTGCAGTGGTTCTCAAAACTGATTTTCATTTCTGCATTTTCATATTTGCTGCATCATATTCAGATGTACAGGGGGAAAAAAGCCATAAAGTATCTTCTTTCGGGTTCCATGGTGGAAAATTATCCAGGTTTGGTACGACATGTAAATCATGACAGAGTTGCAACTATTCCTTTAAGCCAAATGTGTGCTTCTAGTATTTTTTTTTTAGCAAAACACACTGGATAAGTGTCTATAAAAATGCGCACACACACACACACACACACACACATCACCCTGTATATTACAAGTAAATTAGAAGCAACAACTCAATCTTAAATGAATGTCTTCTTGATTTGGGAGAATTCTGCTACAAACAGTACTTCATTTTCTCCACCTGTGGAGTGGCGTGAATATATTCTTGGCATGACAGTAACGGGCTGCTGTGTCAACCTCATACACACACATCACTCCGTGTGTGTCTGTGGATCTGTCAACACCAGTGCACATCACAGATTCAGTGCTGCAGGTCTCGGATGCCGTGTGTAGAAATTCTCCCAGAGTCTGATTCCACCTCCGCAAGCATTAATGGGAACGAGAGACACCTGCTGAGAAACTCGAGCCCCAAAATGGCAGCCCTTCTTCCACACCAAATGTGGAAAACAGGAAACTAAACCTTAGCCTTGTTTACTCTACCAGCTTAATCTTGTCAGTAGCCTAATGAAACAATGCATGCTCATTCAACAAGTGGCTGCAACCTAAAGCATTAGTGACATTTCAAATGCAAACATTTTAAAGATTACATTTTAATTTACTACAGATAAAATCTAGATTATCCATCGAATAGCCCTATCAGCCCGGTTCCTCCTAAAACAATGGGTTTTCTAGGGGAACCATGGAAAACGCAAAACTGCACTCTATTCATTTTTACATTCTGTGCATTCCTAATTATTATTTTATGGTTGACCAAATATTATTTAAGTGGTTGACAAATATGTGCTTTACAATGGCAGCAGGGTGGTTGATGGCATAAAAACTGAATTACAAAATTACTGAAATTAATGTTAATTTTACACAAATTCCACAATATATACATATATTTAAACAGTTTTTCAAATAGCCTATTCAAAATACACTTGGAGTGTTTCGTGAATGAATCGATTCATTTAAAAGATCCAATGCAAAGATTGGTTCACAAATCAGACATCGCTGGTTTACAGCTTATAGGGATTTTAAGTAGTAAAATATTTAGTTTACACATGAGGATTTGAAGTTGCAAAATATTTTTGGACATATAAACTTGCATATTTGGTTTATCCTACGTGGGTTAATGTTTATAAGAAGTCTTAGAAACCTGTAGGCTACTGAGATGTCAAAGGTAGCCTATTTATTTAATACAAGTTTCTGGAGTGCAAATGTGTTAGCGTGAACAACATGGTTGATGGAAAACATTCATTAAAGAAAGCTGGCTGAACCTAAGCGATGATAACAATGGTTAAGCCAACACTGAGGGGAAAGGAACAGATTGATGCCGTGACTGAGTGTAGATCGTATTTTGTTGCATCGAGCGCCTCATGTCTGCTCAGTCACGCACATCAAACTGTTCCATCAATGGCATCCATGGCATAAATTCAAAAAGCCATTTGAATGCGAAATAATGCAGAATGTCTACAACTGATTCCGATGGTGAACCTGTTGGCTGCCTAATGTGTAACAAAAGAAGTACGTTGTTCAAACTCTAGTGACGGAAAATCATTTAAGCACCACTGAGAACATGACACAAACACCGCGGAAAATTACAACTATTCCGCTCCACGCGCGCGAACTGTTTGCGTACGTTTACGCACTTTGTGTACGTTATTGTAACGAGCATTTTCTTTTTCTTTTCAATTTCAACCTGAATACGCACAACATAAGCAATTATGTCGGACAAACACACTAAATGCGTTACATTTACGAAATGTAAAGGCATAAAACACCACAAAAGCTGCGTATTTAGTACACTGTTGCGTAGACTGTTTAATAAGATTACTCATGTTCCCCTGACCCAAAGAACAGACTCAACTTACCTCACACACAAAATATTGTCCTCTGAAATTATACACGGGTTACACATTCAGCTGAAGGCAGAATGTATCTCTATCACAGCGCAAACAAGCTGCTATTTCGGGAATATTCCGTAAAATTTAACAACTCCACGCGCTTCCCGTGATGGAGGTGAGCGCGCGCGCGTATCTATGGTGTGTATGACAACAGGAAATTTTCTATTAGGAAAACATACGCTTATAGAGCACAGAAGCGCCTCCCCCGTCCAACACTACAACCAGCCAGTTCTCATACTGACACATCACGATCCACACTCAGCTACAAATATGACAAGACATTCTCAGCAACAAACATCATGTGCAAATGAACATGACGCCACTGTATAAACTTAAAGAGCGCATCATATTTATGAGGGTGATGCAAATAAACAGGTTATCTGACTGGAATTTAAAATATAATCCCTATATTCAACTAATTTAGTAATTACTGCTGGATTATTCATTAATGTTTTATTTACAGTTGCCAGTAGTTTGTCAGATAAACAACAAAGCAAGGAATCAACTTTCCTCTTAATGCCAATTTATAGCGCCTATTAAAGCAACAGTTAACTCAGAATTAAAAATTCTGTAATTTTTATGAAAGTTATTATAAAGTGTTAAGGCCAGTTCACACCTACGATAACTATAATGATAAAATATATAGTTTTAAAAATTTTTCTAAATGTAAAAGTATAGCAGAGTCCACCCACAACTATAACGAGAACAACACAGAGGAACGATATTGTTGGGATACTTTCAGAATGATTTCTTTCCAGCTGATAAACAATAAAAACATCAGCCAATTAGAATCCTGCTCAAGAATTTAAAGCGGTAGATGACAAAACTGCAGCACTTGCTTAAAATAAACAAAATGGCATTGTCCCTTGGTGTGGAAGCTATCGTTCTTACGGTCCTTATACACCGAGTCCAGAATTTTTGTATGTGTTTTTTTGTATTAGTCATCCTTGCACACTGAGTCCCATGCGTATTAATTAATCCATTGCGAAAAATTCGCAAAACAATACAAAATGGAGTCTTCAAGCAGTGAGGACGGTTTTGTTGTTCCCTCTCTTCTTAAAAAGAGAAAAGGAAAGAGGAAATATTGGGTCCATCCAATCCTGAGATTGCGTAGAGAGAGTTCCATCTCCTTATCAAGGAGCAGGAATTATACTGTGGGATTATCCGGAGCGATTCAAAGTTTAGGCTACTTTGAAACTTGTCAGTCAACTTGTCAGATGCCATTCTGGATTTTGGCATTCACTTGTACAGTGGCTCTGTACACCTCTCAATATGCTTGCTATGGATGCGAAAAACACATAAATTGAACCCGACCCAAAAATGTTTTATGATGGACGAAAGTTTCGGAGGCAGTGTGTAAATGTGATTGACACAACCTGAGGTCATATTCATTTGTTAACATGCAAAAACTTCGGACGAGAATTTCGGACTCAGTGTGCAAGGACCTTTAGTGTGAACTGGCCTTTACTGAGAAAGCTGGAAAAGAGCAGCCTGGACATTCTGCTTAACATCTCATTCTGTGTTCTATGGAAGAAATAAAGTCATACAGACTTGGAATAACATCAGGGTGAGTAAATGATGACTGAAGTTTAATTTTTAAATGAATTATTCCTATTTCTCTGCCCACCCATCGAATAAATGGACGGATTTATCCTTGACTCATACATAAATAGATTATGAAATGAAACATAAGGGCTCAAAGAGTGAGGCTGAAGCTAATTCCGACCAGCAAGATCATTTTAATTCATTTTCATCGGTTGATTCATGTCTGGAAATGCAACACTTTACAACTGTATCATTAACACTTAAGCAAGAACATATTGGCATGAGCAGTTTCTGGAATGCCACATCTCAAACACAAACATCATGCTTATCGAGGTCAAAACACTAGAATCAACAGCAGGACGTTTAATTCGAAGCTTCAGTCTCAGATGCTTTGCTTTGCCGTCGCAGTGCTGCCAGCATTTGAGGCACAGAACTCAAACCCTTTATTTGAGATATCTCACCTCAGAGGCAAACACAGAGCTGTACTGTTTGGATTTCCAGCATAACTGTAGTGGCGTCAGAGGCAGGAACCGTCTGAAAAGAGAGAGGACAAAGACTGGAAAGGTAAGTGGCACACCTGATACTCTCTGC